AAAAACAGAATTAGAAGAGAATATGAGTCTTTCCACGAACTTTTTGAAGTACCCTCGTATATATACACACACACACACATTCACACAGCCATTAGTATGGTAGATTCCTTCTTTTTTTTTTTTTTTAAAGATGACCGGTAAGGGGATCTCAACCCTTGACTTGGTGTTGTCAGCACCACGCTCAGCCAGTGAGCAAACCGGCCATCCCTATATAGGATCCGAACCCGTGGCCTTGGTGTTATCAGCACCGCACTCTACCGAGTGAGCCACGGGCCGGCCCTTGGTAGATTCCTTCTTGAATCCCAAACTTCTTGAGTAGAAAACAAATAATCATACAGTTTCTGCCACTTGGGCAACTTTTCATTTCTAACTTTTGCTGAAAATCTCTGTACCTTTGTGAATAAACACCCATTAANCCGTGGCCTTGGTGTTATCAGCACCGCACTCTACCGAGTGAGCCACGGGCCGGCCCTTGGTAGATTCCTTCTTGAATCCCAAACTTCTTGAGTAGAAAACAAATAATCATACAGTTTCTGCCACTTGGGCAACTTTTCATTTCTAACTTTTGCTGAAAATCTCTGTACCTTTGTGAATAAACACCCATTAAATCTTAAGGCTTCACATATGCCTGTCTATTCCAGCACACACTGCAGGGGCCCAGCGTGGATCTTCATGAGTATCCAGTCTTGGGATGTACCGGGACCCCACAAGTTGAAGATATGGACATGTTCTGTGGTCTTAATGATGCAGGAAGGGAATGTCTGAGTCAGGTGTGAGAACTGCACCAGTTAGTTCATGAAATGATCGGTCTCTTGCAGAGACGCTAACAGACTCCCACAGGTCGAGGAGTATCTTAGCAATCACTGGCCCACCCCCTTGTTTTAGAGGTAAGAAAACAGAGACCCAGACCGGGCTAATGGCTTGCCCAAGGTCCCACAGCTGAATCGGTCTCAGAGTCTCAGAGACTCAGTCATCTCAGACCTTGGGTCCTCCTTCTTGTGGTTTCTGAGGGCTCTCTTGTAAGACCTGCCTGCAGAAATGTGAAGACCATGGTAGAGGATTATTGCCAACTCAGAATCCCTCATTTGCACTAGGCAAGGAAGCAAGCATTTCAGGTATTTGAGGGACGAGCATCCAGAAACAGCAAGGGGTTGCTGAGAGAGGACGTACTGGATACTTGAATCTTCATGGACCCAGACTGTTATTAAAGAATAGGAAGGAACTTGCCCCTCCAAATGTAGTGTTAAAGCAGACGCTACAGGGAGTTCTGAGGCCCATCCTGGTGAAGCACCCCTGCTGTACTCAGCCTCCTCCACCCGGGAGTGTGACCCGCACAGCTAGTTCTCAGGCCCCTGTGTTATGGAGACGTCNACTAGTTCACTCTTGACTGTGATAGGATGAGGTCCTTGCTAGTTAGCAAGACCATCCCCAGCCCCCCAAAAGCACTTCGTAGAGAACAGGAAGGTGGGTGTGCTTTGAGCTGCCTCAGGGAGAGGATCCAGAGTCCGAGTGGCTACAAAGTCAGACCTGCAGCATTTTAACTAGATCATTTTATCTCAGAGGGCTGGAGTCAGGCAAGCCTGAGTTGCAGACTATTGTTGCAGTAATAATGTTGTTGGCCAAATTACTTAACTCTCAGAACCTCACTGTTGTCTTTTGTAACAGGGGAAAATAATTCCAACTTTATAGAATTGTCCTAAGTTGTAGATAAGTTATGTAAAGTGCCAGGCATATTAGGTGCTCAGTGAGTGTTGGTTATCAAAGTACCTTTTGATTTCCATGAGTAAAAGTACATCTTGTGTTTTTTAATTAGTTGAATACATATTTGTGTATATGTACACATACAAGGGTACTTTAAAAAGTTTATGGAAAAACAGAATTAGAAGAGAATATGAGTCTTTCCACGAACTTTTTGAAGTACCCTCGTATACACACACACACACACATTCTCACAGCCATTAGTATGGTAGATTCCTTCTTGAATCCCAAACTTCTTGAGTAGAAAACAAATAATCATACAGTTTCTGCCACTTGGGTAACTTTTCATTTCTAACTTTTGCTGAAAATCTCTGTACCTTTGTGAATAAACACCCATTAA